GTCAACAAGCGGGACCGGGCCCGCGTCCGGGCCGTCCATGGGCCGTGGGTGGGTTTCAGGCAGCCACGAGGCGCGGGCTAATTTTACACTCCTATCAATGTGAATGTTAACATGTCAATAAGAATATTCACATTGTCAACGGCCCAGGCTGTGGACGGGCTTTTGGCCGTCTATGGGCCGCGGGCCAATGTTATACTCTTATCAATATGAATGTTAACATGTCAATGTGAATATTCACATTGTCAACGGGCCGGACCGGGCCCGCCCCGGGCCGCTCATGGACTGCGAGCGGGTTTCGCGCCGCCACGGGACGCGGGCCAATTTTACACTCATATTAATGTGAATGTTAACATGTCAATGTGAATATTCACATTGTCAATAGGCCAGGCCTGCTCCGGCCTGACTCGAATTTTTCCTGGCACCCACGAGGATCAACTTGGGTCGGGCCTCTACACATTGACGATATGAACATTCACATTGACGGTGTGAACATTCACATTAAGGGTATTTTGGTAATTATGTCACCCATAGGACTTATTGAAACATAAGAAGATAATGTGAACTAAATGGAAATAAGTAGATGAAAAGGGTATTTTGGTCTTCTTATCTCAAATAGGACCTAATGGAATAGCAAAAAAGAATATAGGTTGGATGGAATAAAACTCTTAGAAAGTGGGTTTATCAAAAAAGTTCCATTTTTTAAATTTTTATATGAGTTTTGAATAGAATTTTGGATTGTTTATTTAGTTATGAATTGTGAATTTTTTAATCAAATAACTTTTCTAATTTCAAAAACTCAAAACTCCCTCCAAAACTCAATTCAAAACTCATAACCAAACAAAATTTTCACACTCAAATCATAATTTCAAAACTCACAAACTCAAAATATAACTCTATTCTCAAATTATATTTAGAAAACGCTACCTTAATTTTTTCGCTTGAGTCGTAAATGGTATAAAAGTTGCGTTTTAATCTACAAACCACAATCTAAAAATTCATTAACAACCTCAAAAATATAATCATGACCTAGAAAACAATGGTAGTACCAAAATTTTTTTTTCTAGTTTTAAAATTTTTTTTTAAATTATGACTAATTTTACAATTTTATTTTTTAGTTAGATTTCATATAATATATTTAATGATCAAAAAGTAAACAGAAGATAACAAAAGGTTGGTTTTTGGTCTTGTTTACTTGATTCATTTTGTTTTTGTTATATTTTTCTTAGAATATCCCAGGAAGTTGCAATTTGTAACTCATTAGAGCTGATTTTTTCATTTTTACTTGCATCTTAAGTTCCTAAGACTTGAATATTTTGATGACAGGACCTCATCCATGTAATTCTCAATGGATCTCAGTTTTTCAGAGGTATTTAATTTTACTCTTTAATGTTTTTGCTCACTTTTAAATTTCAATTGGTGTAATCAACTGCATATGTCAATCCTTTGCATACACTTAAATCATATATCACCATTCGATTGCACTAAATGGCCACCATATGTTTGCTCAAGGTCTTGCATAACAATTTCTATTCATTCACTTTTTTTTAGTGGATTTATTAGTCTTGTTGGTTTAGACTGCCAGTATCCTCTGTATATGCAATTTATTTTACTTATGTTCTTAGTAAGAATTGTTCTTCATTTTTTAAAACTATTATCCAGTTTAGGTATTAAAGTTTATTACCGTTGTTTTTAATTGGCTGCGTCGTATATATGAAGAGCATAGGACTTATTGAAATATAAGAAAATAATGTGAACTAAATGGAACATAAGTAGATGAAAAGGGTATTTTGGTCTTCTTATCTCAAATAGGACCTAATGAAATAGTCAAAAAGAATATGGGTTGGATGGAATAAAGCTCTTAGAAAGTGAGTTTATCAAAAAAGTTTCATTTTTTAAATTTTTATATGGGTTTTGAATAGAATTTTGGATTGTTTATTTAGTTATGAGTTGTGAATTTTTGAATCAAATAACTTTTCTAATTTCAAAAACAAAACTCCCTCCAAAACTCATTTCAAAACTCAGAACCAAACAAAATTTTCACACTCAAATCATAATTTCAAAACTCACAAACTCAAAATATAACTCTATTCTCAAATTATATTTAGAAAACGCAACCTTAATTTTTTCGCTTGAGCCGTAAATGGTATAGAAGTTGCGTTTTAATCTACAAACCACAATCTAAAAATTCATTAACAACCTCAAAAATATAATCATGACCTAGAAAACAATGGTTGTACCAATTTTTTTTTTCTAGTTTTAATTTTTTTTAAAAAAATTATGACTAATTTTACAATTTTATTTTTTAGTTAGATTTCATATAATATATTTAATGATCAAAAAGTAAACAGAAGATAACAAAAGGCTGTTTAGATTTGGAAAGTTAAAAGTAAAAATTTTAGTGTAGAGAAAAATAAAAATAAATAAATAATAAATAAATAAATCCAGAAATTTTGGCATAATTTATTCACAAAAATTTTAATTATTTATTTATAAAACTAAATATAAAAGCCTAGTTTGAAATTAGGATCTTTTTTGATAAATTTTCTTTCTAAGTGTTTTATTCTATCTAACTCATATTCTTTTTTAGTATTCCATTAAGTTCTATTTAATTTAATATAACCAAATCATCCTTTCTAATTTTTTGCACATAATATTATTTCACTACAATATGTAAATTAGAGTTTCTAAGTCCTACCAAATATAGATTTTGAGACCTTAGCACAATAAAATAATACCACAAATGCGAATGAAATTGATTAAAAAGAAAAACGTGAATAGTGGTAACTACCAAAATAGAGGTAGCAACAAAAAAGAAATGTGTATATAATTTTTTTATATAATATATATCAACAATAGACATAATGGTATAATAGTCTAACAAACAATATAAATTAGGAAAAAAAGGATTTCATGGAATAAAAGTATAAATACATGCAACTAATTAGGTTATAATTTTCCTTGGCGGACTTGTTGGGTTAGAACACCTCCAAATGAGATTTATCAATAAATTTTTTTTTTTTGTTGATAAATTCTCTTTCTAAGTGTTTTATTTCATTTAACCCATATTCTTTTTTAGTATTTCATTAAGTCCAATTTAATATAATATGACCAAATCATCATTTCTAATTTTTTGCACATGTTTCTATTTTGAAATTAATACATAATAATAGTCCCTCATTTTATGGATAAAATATTTCCCTCATTCTGAAGAGAAAATATTTCTCTTATTCTATGGATAAAATATCTCATTTATTCTAAGGATAAAATCTCTCATGCATTCTATGGAGAAAATATTAAATTATGAATTTTGAACTTTTTTATAATTTGAAAATTCTAAAAATAACGCAATAAAAAATCTGAATGAAAATCAAAATACAATGTGAATGTTTACAGTAAACAATAAACATACAACTAACTTTTGAAAAAATAATATTTATACCAAAATATAATGTGAATGTTCACAATAAACAACAAACATACAATTAACCTTCGAAAAATAAAATGCATACCAAAATACAATGTGAATGTTTATAATTATAATTAACATATAACTAGTCTTAAAAAAATAACTCATACCAATATAAACATTTATGTTGCAATGTAAAAACATAAAACAAAATTAAAAAATGTAAAAATTGACTATTTTAATTGTTCAACGGTAATAAAATTGATTGTTCAACTAATAAGTAGTAACAAAAACAACAAACATACAATTAACTTTCAAAAAAATAAAACTTATACCAAAATACAATGTAAATATTTACAATTTACAATTAATATATAACTAGTTTTTTTTTTTAAAAAAAAGAAACTCATACAAATGTAAACGTTGACACTGTAACGTGAAAATATAAAATAAAATTAAAAAAAAGTGAAACGACTATTTCGATTGTTCAATAGTAATAAAAATGATTATCCAACTAATAAGCATAGTAAGAAAAAAAAACAAAATACAACTAACTTTCGAAATAATTTCAAAAAAAACTCATACCAAATGCAATCTAAATGTTTACAATTTACAATTGACATACAACTAACCTTAGAAAAACTAAATTCATACCAACGTAAACATTCACACTGCAACATGAAACAAAATTGAAAGAAAAAAAAAAGAAGAGACTAATTCAATTGTTTAATGATAACAAAAAATGATTATTTAAATAACAAGTATAGTAACAAATAACTAATGATATGTGAGCATTTACATCCTGCAAAATATATAATTATGTCCATATCTATATTCCAACACTTATTTCTCAGACTTTCAAATAATGCGAAATGTGAACATTTGCACTGATTGACAAAAAAATAAAAACAATGACAACAATAGAATTAAAAATCCAAAAAAAAAAAACAAACCTCAATCACTCTAAAACCAATATATATATATATATATATATCACATCCTCATCTTTATCATTATCACTATCATTAACAATCTACGTAATTTCACCATTCTACCAATCTAAATCAAACCAAACCCACCTTTAAATAATATGTTTGTAACAAAATTGACTGGATATAAATAGAGCTTTGACTTACAACAATGGAGAAACAAAGAGTTTTGAACTCAGAGCAATAATGGACAAATACAGAATTTCAAACACAAAGTGACAATGAAGGAATACAAAGTTTCACTGCAACAATGGAGGAACAAAATATTATTTCATTACCATGTGTAAATTAGAGTTTCTAAACCCTATCAAATATAGAGTTTCAAGATCCTAGTACAATGAAATAATATTACAAGTGTGAATGAAACTGATTAAAAAAAAAAAAACATGTAATGGTAACTACCAAATAGAGGTAGTAACAAATAGGAAATATGTACATCATTTTTCTATATAATATCTATATAATAAGACAAGAGGCGTTTTGAAAATGTATAAAATGTGTGTGAGATACATTTTGATCCAATGACTGAGATTAATCCCAAGTTTATATCAATGGTTCAGATCAATGGATCTCCCGCCCAAACAACTCCTTGCTCTATTTCCCACGTCTGTCTAAACACATCTGCTCTACACATTCTCTCTCATCCTCCTCCTCCCAAAAGCCTCTAATGCCTTACCTCTCCCTCACCAATGACATTTTCTTCTCTATGGCTTACTACCTCCTCCATCGTTAGCGCGATCAGATCCGATCCTCCACCCCTCTCTACGTCGTCACTCTCTCCGAACTCGCTGCCATCGCCTCCCTCATCGCTTCCTTCATCTACCTCCTCGGTTTTTTCGGCATTGGTTTCGTCCAATCCTTCATCACCCGTGCTTCTTACGACGCCGGCTTCATCTAGGTTTGATCGTTCTCCTTCTTCTCTGTGTTGTTTTGATATCATATCAAACGTGTTTACAAATTTCAGTAGAGCTTTCTTTTCTACATCACCATTTTTTTTGTGTTGATATCAAGTCTCTTTGCAGGTACCAAGAGTAGGAGATTCGTTGCTGCAGCACCAGCGAAGCCTGATCAACATCGAAATGGCGGTTTTTGACTCCGATTGAGTCATTTCTACGATCTTCGGTACGGTTCTGTGCTCTCTCTGTGTCTTTGTGGTGAATTTTAGGGCTTTCAAAGAATGTGTTTACAGACCATTTAGATCGGTTGATTTTAGAAAACAAAAATTTGCATTTTTTTTTTTAGTTTGTAACAGTGGTGAAATGAGAAGGCATGGATATGTAATTCTCATGTTGAATCTTTTCAAAAATTATATAAATTGAGGGAGTTTAGTGGTTGTTTTTTATACAAGGCCTTTAAATTTTATTTATTTATTATTATTATTTTTTTGTGATTTAAAAGCCAAATTACTTTACAGCCCATTTAGATCGGTTGATTTTGGAAAACAAAAATTTGCATTTTTTTTTTAATATGTAACAGTGGTGAAATGAGAAGGCATGGATATGTAATTCTCATGTTGAATCTTTTCAAAAATTATATAAATTGAAGGAGTTTAGTGGTTGTTTTTTATACAAGGCCTTTAAATTTTATTTATTTATTATTTATTATTATTATTATTATTATTTTGTGGTTTAAAAGCCAAATTACTTTACAGCCCATTTAGATCGGTTGATTTTGGAAAACAAAAATTTGCATTTTTTTTTTAATATGTAACAGTGGTGAAATGAGAAGGCATGGATATGTAATTCTCATGTTGAATCTTTTCAAAAATTATATAAATTGAAGGAGTTTAGTGGTTGTTTTTTATACAAGGCCTTTAAATTTTATTTATTTATTATTTATTATTATTATTATTATTATTTTGTGGTTTAAAAGCCAAATTACTTTACAGCCCATTTAGATCGGTTGATTTTGGAAAACAAAAATTTGCATTTTTTTTTTAATATGTAACAGTGGTGAAATGAGAAGGCATGGATATGTAATTCTCATGTTGAATCTTTTCAAAAATTATATAAATTGAAGGAGTTTAGTGGTTGTTTTTTATACAAGGCCTTTAAATTTTATTTATTTATTATTTATTATTATTATTATTATTATTTTGTGGTTTAAAAGCCAAATTACTTTACAGCCCATTTAGATCGGTTGATTTTGGAAAACAAAAATATGCATTTTTTTTTAGTTTATAACAGTGGTGAAATGAGAAGGCATGGATATGTAATTCTCATGTTGAATCTTTTCAAAAATTATATAAATTGAGGGAGTTTAGTGGTTGTTTTTTATACAAGGCCTTTAAATTTTATTTATTTATTATTTATTATTATTATTATTATTATTTTGTGGTTTAAAAGCCAAATTACTTTACAGCCCATTTAGATCGGTTGATTTTGGAAAACAAAAATATGCATTTTTTTTTAGTTTATAACAGTGGTGAAATGAGAAGGCATGGATATGTAATTTTCATGTTGAATCTTTTCAAAAATTATTTAAATTGAGGGAGTTTAGTGGTTGTTTTTTATACAAGGCCTTTAAATTTTATTTATTTATTTTTGTTTTTTGTGGTTTAAAAGCCAAATTACTTTACAGCCCATATAGATCGGTTGATTTTGGAAAAAAAATAAAAATAAATAAATTGCATTTTTTTTAGTTTATGACAGCGGTGAAATGAGAAGAAATGGAGATGTAATTCTCATGTTGAATTTTTGAAAAAATATACAAATTGGGAGAAAGTTTGGCGGTTGTTTTGTTTTTATTTATTTATACAAGTTCTTTTTCACTCTTCAACTGAGATTTTTAATTTGTTTTCTGGTTTAAAAGCCAAATTACTTTACAGCAATTAATTAATAAACATGGCAAATGATACCAAATGGGTTCAGAATCCCAAGTAAATTAAAGAAGGTATATTGAAAAATATGTGATTTTGTGGAGTGAAAAATATGTGATTTTAGGTAACAGACTTTGGATCGCTTGAACTTTCCCCAGTTGATGGACGGACTTTAACTGACTTCATGCATCTAAGAGGATTACAAATGCGCTCTTTGGGTTGTGTGTTAAAAAGATAATCTCTCTCTCTCTCTCCGTCTCTCTCTCTCTCATATACACAAGCGCTCTACAAAGCTCAAAATGATATGAGACTGGAATGTTGCTTCTGAAAATCTTATTTCTTAGGGAAATTATTGTGCTTGCTAACTTGATCAATATTGTTAAATATCTATGTAAGCTAGAGTGCTTAAATATCTATGTAACTTGATTGTACGAAGCATAATTTCAGCGGAGTGCTTAAATTTGATCTAAATAAAATACGACATTAACTATTGTTGGCTCTGATCGCATTATGAAAACCAGGTTGAACTTGCAGAGAAGCTTCCTCATATACAGTCACTTTGTATTCACGAGATGGTCACTCGAGCTTTCAAGCATGTCCTTAAAGCCGTTATTGCTTCTATTAATAATGTGGCAGACTTATCCACAGCAGTAGCTTCATGCTTGAATTTCTTGCTTGGGGGCTACACAATAGAAGATAGTGAACATAACTTGAGTGGTGATCACATGCTCAAATTGCAGTGGTTACGAACTTTTCTAGCTAAAAGATATGGCTGGACTCTAAAAGATGAGTTTCAACAATTGAGGAAATTAACAATTCTCCGAGGACTTTGCCACAAGGTACCATCTCCTTTTATTGCCTCCAGTCATGGTTTCATTAGAATGAGATTCTAATGTTTCTTTTTTCGTTTGTTTTTTTTTTTATATAAATATCCAGGTTGGATTGGAGTTGCTTCCGAAAGACTATGATATAGAAAGCCCAAGCCCTTTCAAGAAATCTGATATTATCGGCATTGTTCCTGTGTGTAAAGTAAGGGTTTCTCTCTCTTTCTCTCTCCCTCTCACTTGCACACATTCACACAAATTGCATTTGATTTGAAAGTCTTACAATCTAAATTTAGTGTGACATGCTTTGCAATAACCAAGATGTTTGAACCATATGCTACACAGCATGTAGGATGCTCTTCTGCAGATGGGCGGACCCTATTGGAGTCATCAAAGATGGCACTCGATAAAGGAAAGCTAGAAGATGCTGTCAACTATGGAACGAAGGTACCAAAGCCATCCTGTCTATAGTAAGCTGTTTAATTCTATTCTTAATGGGTACAAAAATCAATCACAATTTTTTGTATTACTTGATTCTGAAGGCATTGGCAAAGATGATAGCTGTCTGTGGTCCCTATCATTGTACGACTGCGAGTGCGTACAGTCTGTTAGCTGTTGTGCTTTACCACACTGGAGACTTTAATTAGGTAGATATATATAATATTCTTTTGTTAATAATCAGGTAGTCTGTTAACTGATTTGTAACTGTGATTTTGCGGACAGAATATATTGTTTCTGTCCATACCTCATCATTTTTTTCCTTCTGTATTTTGATTTCAGTTTCATAATTTGAAACTACAGCATCTGTTTGAGTCTCATCTCTATGTTCATTTCGTCTCATCTTAACTATCTCTCTCAATTACAATTTGTTATTTTGATTTTAAAATTTTCAATACTTATGTTTCTTATGCCTGTAGATTTTGTGGAGTGAAAAAATATGTGATTTTGTGGACAAAATATATTGTTTCTGTCCATACCTCATCATTTTTTTCCTTATATATTTTGATTTCAGTTTCACAATTTGAAACTACAGCATCTGTTTGAGTCTCATCTCTATGTTCATTTCATCTCATCTCAACTGTCTCTCTCAATTACAATTTGTTATTTTCATTTTAAAATTTTCAATACTTACGTTTCTTATGCCTGTAGATTTCAATACAATTTGTTTCTCATTTATATTGCCTCAATTAAAATATGTTAGAATTAATTTTATTTCATGAGCTGATTTTTCCTATTTTGAAAATCATGAAAACATCAATTAGGTTATTGAAAACTTAACTTCTCACTTTATTTTTTATTTTTTAAATTTATTTATTTATTTATTGTCAAATACCATGACCTGATTCTAACATATCCCTTTTTGGTAATGTTTATTTATTGAGATGTTGGTAATTTTTTTTTTTTTTTTTCCAGTTAAATTCTCAACCTTTGAACTTTCTTTGTTTTTTTAATTCTGTTGTATGTGTATTTTTTATTTTTATTTTTATTTTTATTTATTTATTTATTTATTTTTGTTCTAATGTTGTTTCCACATTATGTCATTTAGTTTTCACTACTCATGGATTGCAATGTGCAACATGGAAATTTCTCTCATTGTTGTTATTATTATTGTTTTATTTCGTTTCAGGTGTCGTCTTTCAATCGCAATCTGAATTCTGCAAAGTTTCAATCAAGCATTTTTGGTACTGTTGTTCCTGGCAAGCCATCTTCCTTACAGTTGAGTAATCCACTGTTTCCTCTTTGTGCAGTTGAGTAGTGTTTGCTTATATTGTGTTGAACACAGAATGATTTGGTCCAAACCATACAGAAAATGTATTGCTAGGAGTATGCAGCCTATCAAAGCAACTGCAATGCCTCCTATAGTTGTTCTTCAACCAACATCCCGTACTATTCTTTGTTTCAGTTTTTTATTGACTATGTATGTAATTTATTTTCCTTCGATAAAAATTTGACATCATCTTTGGGATTCTTTGTGCTATATAGTAGAAATTTGCTGACCAACATTTGGTAAATAAATATTATATACCCTTACTTTTGTTCAGGGTATGTCCAGTGAAAGTTACCTGTTAACTTCTGTTTCATCTTTAGATTTTTTTGGGTAAGTGTTTCATCTTTAGATTGGATGTTCCTTATGTTTTTTCGCTCTTTTTGTTCAATTCCCCCACTGGTATTTGCCCGATGAAGATCACTGTGCTGAGGTCCACAATAACCAATCTTCAGCCTAAGGTAGGGTCTATACTTTTTTCTAACTCTTTTTAGTGTTGAATTTCTTTTGTGGTGTATAGTATGGCTATGTAATGATCAGCTGTTGCAACTATTGCTTTTGATAGATCTTAGTTGGATTAACACTTGAAAATTTCTCTATAACCATATATATTCTATATCAGGGATTCAAATGTGGGTCTGACAAACGTAACCCATTGTCCCTGTGATTGATTTGAATAGAAGTAGCTAAATCAGTTGCACAATATTATCTTGAACATTATGATTACCCAATTCTAGAAACAGTTCTACATTTAGGATATTTTTGATCACTCATTAATCTCAGTTGTTTTGGGATGGTCCATTTACCATATTTATTGTGCCTTATATTTTCTGTAGGCAATCATTTTTGTTTTATTTGTATTTCTTTTAAATAATGTATTATTAATGTTAGACAAAAGAAAACACATAAACTGATATGGAATATGATAGTGAAAAAAATGTCAATTTTTCTCTATGCTATAAGTTAAATAATGTATTGTTCCTCTTGCTACTAGGCTCCATTTTCAAGTTATCTCTATACAGTTAGGTTCCATCATCTGAGGAGGCATTTTATATGTCATGCATATGTGTATTTTAATGCATGAAATGTGTCTACTGATGCACTAATTTTGTGATTACATGTCAAAATGATATATAAATTTGGTGTAAAAATTGGTAATCACACAACAATACTATACAAAAAGTAGGCATCTTGCATTTGGAGATGAAAACAATTTTGCTCAATGATAGAATAGATGTGTGTGCGTTATATTTTCTAAATTGCGTGGTTACCAGATGTCATAGAATGAATTTTGTTGTGAAGCTACATACCATCTATAGATTTGATTCACCAGTTCTTATTTCTCTTCGAGATTTGATTGGCAGCAGTAGCACTAACTGGTTTGCATTTTAATTTTAATTTCTTTTAAATTGTAGAGCATTGGCTGATGTGCATTATTTGATATTTAATTTTATTTTTATATTTGATTTGTTTGGAATTATAGAGTACAGTAACTGGTGTGCATTTTAATTTTAATTTCTTTTAAATTGCAGAGCACTGGCTGGTATGCATTATTTGATATTTAATTTTTTTTTTATATTTGATTTGTTTGAAATTGTAGAGTACAGTTTGTTAAATATATTTTATAACTGCATTTTAATTTTAATATTATTTACAACGTGCCTTTAGGCACGGACATACGTTAGTATATCAACAATAGACATAAATGTATAATAGTCTAACAAAGAACATAAATCAAGAAAAAAGAATCTCATGAAACAAAAGTATAAATACATAAGACTAATTAGATTATAATTTTTTTTAATACACTTGTTAGGTTAAAATACCTCCAAATAAAATTTATCAATAAAAAAAAAAACCTTGAAATTATGGTTTCAGGGCTGAAAGTTGCCTGAGCCGGCCCTGGAGATTCATTGCACTCAACCTGATTTTCAACACATCACATGTGTTATTTATTACTTGTCCTAACATCTTCATTTATGCATGATGTGCTAAAAATGGAAGGGACACTATACGGAGGTAGAAGAAAAAAAAAAATTATCAATATAGGGAGGGGTGAGTGTGTTAAAGTCACACTTGTATTCTTATATTGCTTTATTTATATTCCATTACAAATACATTTGTATCATTATGTGTTTGTAATTTTTTTTTCTCTTCTCCTACTTGTTTATATTGTAGAATTTATTGAGTATATATATTATTCATAAGAGAATTCAGGTTAATCAGATATACGTAACCTCGTGATCAGTCATAATTATTTTTAAAAAAAATATTAAAATTATACAAACTATTTATTTTTATTTAAAACAAATATGGTCTTTTTATGGGATTACAAATGTCCGATTGATTCGATTTTTTTATGTATAATCTATTCGACGAACGTTATAATATGAACGATTTGAATTATAAAAATAGACTCAAGACACGCTCCGAAAGGCCTCCAAACACACGTGCTATATCATAAGACACAACCTAAATCCGCTAAAAATGAAGGTTGTTTAAATCAGGATTTTAGGTTAAATTGTTAAGAGGGATTCGTGAATCAAATTTTAAGATTGTATTTTTAATGTAAAATTAAAAAAAAAAATATCTATCGATAATAACATATATATAGTAATATTAAACATATCTTTAATATTTTAATTATTTTTAATTAAATAAATTTTTTTTTTAAATTAAATAAATAAATAAATAAAATATCAATAAAATTTGTTTTAAATCATTACTGTATAACAAATCATTATTTTTTTTTACATACAAAACTTTACTGTGTTTGTTTATTTACACAATTAAATAATTTACTGTGTTTGTTTATTTACACAATTAAATAATTTACTGTGTTTGTTTATTTACACAATTAAATAATTTACTGTGTTTGTTTATTTACACAATTAAATAATTTACTGTGTTTGTTTATTTACACAATTAAATAATTTACTGTGTTTGTTTATTTACACAATTAAATAATTTACTGTGTTTGTTTATTTACACAATTAAATAAATTTATTTTTTTACACAATTAAATAAATAAATAACCACTAAATTTGTTTATATTATTTTTTAATTAAAATTTTAAATAAAACACCTATTACAATTTAAATAATGAAATTAAATAAATTATAAACAAAATTTTAAAATAAAACATCAATAAAATATCTATAAAAAATTATTTTAAAAAATTAAATAAATAAAACATCAATAAAAAGTTAAATAAAATTATTTTATTTTAAAATTGAGACATTTAAATTTTATTAAATTTTACTAAATATAATTCATAATTAAATAGTAGAGGGTTAAAATAGTCATTTTATCACCTAATCCCAGCAGTAAATAATCCTCCCAAAACTGTCCCACACTCCCCTGGGATAGTATAATCTCCCATATGGGGGATAAGGAGTCCGGCCGGACTCCATGTCCGGTGGACTAAAAAAAAAACAAACGATGGACTACTCACTCCTTCAGATAAACAATCAAAATAGTAAATAGTCTCCCCTTAATTTCCCCAATCAAACAAACATTAACGCTGTGTTTGGTTGGGGGATTTGGAAAGGGATTTGGAAAAGAAAAGAGAAAGTGTGTGAAATTATGTGAAATGTAGACATGTTTTTTTCACATTTCACCTACCTTTTCTATTTCTCTTTCATATTCCTGCTCAAATCTCTCAACTAAACACAGTATAAGTGATATCTAGTCACTTCTCACCGTTAATCACCACATCCGTTCATCTTTCATCGTGAATCACCATTTTCGATAACGCATTAAATAACTTTTTTTATATTTATTTTTAAAATAATTTTATATATCAAACAAGAACATGTTTTAACATCATACCCAAAGCTTTTGAGTCTTTAAAAAAAAAAAAAATGACGATGTTAACAGATGAATCCT